AATTGAGCTATGCACAGATGAAATCCCAAGAATCTCAAATGAAATCCTTTGGAGGACTACAGTCCTCCAGTGGACAGCTAAAATCCCAGGATGCCCAGTTGAAATCCTATAGTCAACAAAAATCCTTTGGTGAAGAAGCCCAACTGAAATCCTATGGCCAACAAAAATCTCAACAGTCACAATTAGCCTATAGCCAAATGAAAGCCAGTAGTCTCCAACAAAAATTCCATGGTCAAGAAAAATCCCTAAAAGGTTTTTCTCAACAATCTCAACAAAAAGGATTTTCCATGGATGAAGAAATGTCACAGCAGCGTAAACATTATGATGATGAGGAGCAATCTACACAACAAAAGTCTACCCAGCTTGTCAAGACAGAGGAAGACTTAGCCCAATTTGGACAACAACGGCAATTTGGACAAGAAAATGCACAAGCCTATAAAGGATATCTTGAACAATTCAAAAGGAAATCTCAGGATAGCTTTCTTACAAAGGGAGGGGCAGGCCTATTTCAAAGTCAACAAAAGGTGTAACATATTCACTGACCAACAAGAGACCAAGAGCAATATCAAGGTACGTTTCCACTAAATAGGAGAGATATTTATCCCCATGTTTATTATAGTACATAGGAAAGCCCGGGGTCCTTCATGGGACCGATGCCCATTTTCCTATCAGTAGAAATATTATTATGTTACAAACTCTTAGAAAGATGAAGAGTGACCCCTCAGCACTAGATATGGTAAAGGCAGAGTAAGCAACCTGGGTTAACAATTGGTCCTGAATTACTACATTGAGGAGTGTTTTTCAATCATTTTCCTTGAACATAGACAAAGTTTTTATTATTAAATATGTACCACCTTATGCAACCATATTTGACATTTTATGATATAATCTTGTTCTTACACTTTGACTTGGTAAAAATTGATTTCTTGCTTAGATTGGTATAAGGTGTTATTACAGATGATTTCTTTCTTCATGCCAGTGAGTGTTCTTGCTGCCGCATTATCCACTTTCTATCATAAACCATGGGGTGCAGGACTAGATGGCTTTTTCACCAGCCAGCTATGGAAATGTGATTACAAAGCTCTTTGCTTGGGGCAGACACTGTGTTCAGTTAGATTCCAATGGACAGTCCCAGGCTTGTGGTCATGTTAGTGGCCTTGGTTAAATTCAGTTGGTCACAAAACAAAAAGATAGGATTGGGAGAAAGGGACTTGAAGAGAGTAGTGGGGGTGGTTGGGATGAGTGGGATATAGGAGAAGACGGGATGGGCAGTAATCAGAATGTACTATGTGTGTGAGAGAGATGCTGAAAGAACAGAGGAAAGTGGGGATTTTTTTGTTTGTTTTGTTTTCTTTTAAATCCAAAAAGAGCTTGAATGTGAGCACAGGAGCATAAGCATCCACGTGTTGCTGCTGTACATTTATGACTTAGGGAGTGGAATCTGTGCCCCAGCAGAAAGACAATGGTTGCTTCTTTGTTTGCATTAAGTTTGTATTAAGAAAGGGAGAGCAACAAAAACCATAGACACAGTTGGGGTCCATTGCAGTCATTAGTGGCTGAGCACCCCAATTTGTAGAAGCTGGTTCTGGTAGAATTAAAAGAAGCAGAAATCCATTCATTTATGCCTCAACTTCTGACTACCGTTGTATCATTGTCACCCTTTCTTTTCCTAGGACTCACCTCACCGGAGTCAAGTCTATGATCCCTTCAAGATGCAGACTGCAATGTGGTCCCAGATCGTTGGTTCATGGACAACCCTCTAATCACATTTGCTTTTCTGTAGGACTTCTAAACCTGGAGTTTCCTCAAACACTTGCTTTCCAATAAAAAGATAACTTTCTGCATCACTTGCTTTAGTTTACTGAGATCTGATTCCTACAACTGTCTGGGTTTGTGAACATTCCTGGTGGGCAGTTCCAAATGGAAGGGACAATTGTGTAGCATTGGGGAAAATAGCAATGAAATCCGCATTTGTAGATGTGTGGATTACAAATGGTGCTAGAACTAACCGTGCCAGTCACCTTGTGAGCCACCTAAAAGTCAACCTTAAAATCGCTCACAATTCTTTTCCTAGTGGGTCTTCAGAGACTGACAATCAGAATTAAAAGGTCACTGGTCCAAGGGCATTGGTTTCCAGTTCCAAATCCACCACAGAAACATGTCAATTTTCAGGCAGGAGAAATGGCTCAGCCCATTTCTCATAACCCAAAACAGAAGAAACACCAATTTTCAATTAATTTTTTTTCTTTCTGAGCATAAGCCCGCAATTGACAGATGGTAGACAATTTCCTCTAGTTGTCTTTAATTTTGTGGAATCAAGCAAGGCCCACACTTCTGTGGTTCCAAGGTCAGGAACTGGACTGAGAGTTTACCTACTAAAACATTTGATATTTAGGAAAAAAAAGTAGAGTGTTGTTTAATAAGACTTGTCCCTGCTACCACAGCCGCAGAGAAACGTGCAGGTCGCAGAGCCACTGTCACTTTTATTCTGGAAGGTCTAGTCACTTCATTAGGTACCGAGAGGAGATTCTGCATTGCTATAGATTCAAAGGATTTGTGTAGCACCTCTGGATAGAAACACAAGAATTCTGAAGTCTTAAAGCAGAATGGATATGGAAAGTTATATATAACGGGAACAATACTTCACTCAGACATCATAGACCATTAAACAAAAAGCCCTGTGCCAGGTATAAGTTACCTCTTTTTGAGTTGTTGGCCACTGAGATCCCACACACACCGCCCCCCCCCCACATTGCTATTACCATGGCTCTTAGTTACTGTCTGCAACTTAATGGTAAGACTCCATCACTGAAGACACAACATACCTAAGTCACAGGACACAGAGAAATCAGTCTGGGTACTGACCTGGGAGCGTCATCCTACTGGCTAGCTTTCATGGTGCTGAAAGGTACTATGCATGCTTACTAGGGGAGAAAAGTCATCAACACTGTTACCCCGCTGTGAACTAGAACCTGTGAACTAGAAGAACAAAACTGCCCTGGTAAGATATGTCTACTAGTGCACTAATATCATGGGAGAAAATCAACCAACCACTTTCTGATTGGACTTAAGTCCCACTCCACAAGATGGACCCAATGCCCGATACCGATACCATTAGCTGCACCCAAAATCTATAGCTGGCTAGGTTATAGACCCTACAGAAGAGCCTACTACTATTTTTCTGTGAAGTGACCACAGCAATAAACTGCTTTCAAAGTTCTTATCTTTATATCCATAAATTTGTGCATCTCTCCATTCTCCCCTGAGAGGCTTTCTTCAGAAGATGGTGACAGTGACAGAGACACGCGGCTGGTCAACACGCAGAGATTAGGAGTGTGGAGTCAGTGATAACTGGAGCATCTATAACACGCCCCTTCACCCTAAGTCTTCAGTGATCACTGCGGAATAGGAGGTAGGAAGATTATAAGGGCCAGAGGGAGTAGATGTCTGAAGGAGACAGTGTCTGCTAAAATGACAGCACAGTTGCACACATGAAATCAGAGCAGATGTGATTGCATGTAGGAGGCTTGTGCAAAACCAAGTCAGCCCACATCTCAGCATGGAGGGACTCTTGAAGTCCCACCCCACCCCCAACTGAGGCGCCATTGGCAATTGGTGGCTGCTGGAAGAGTGCAGTGGTTAGGAGAATGCCCCCATAGGCTCATGGAGTTGTATGCTTAGTCTCCATGTTTGGAAGTGTTTGGAAGGACTGGGCAGTGTGGCCTTGTTGGAGGAAGTATGCCACTGGGGATGAGCTTTGAGGTTTCAAAAGCCCATGCCAGGCCTAGTATCTCTCTGTGCCCGCTGCTTATGAATCAAAAGGTAAGGCTCTCAGCTACTGCTCCAGTGCCATGCCTGTCTGCTTCCTACCATGATGTTAATGGACTAACCTCTGAAAATATAAGCACACGAGAAGGTTAGTAAAGAGCTGCTGATCTTTGGTCGATGTTGGAATCCCGAAGAAGTGGGTTCTAATGCCAGTGAAGGAGTGTCTCAGTGACAGCATAAATGGACTCGCCAGCAAGAGTGAGGGCAAGCAGACAGAATCAAGAGCTTCCTTCTTCCATGTCTTTTTGTATAGGCTTCCACAAGATGGCACAGCCCAGATTTAGTTGAATCTTCCCAGCACAAATGATCCCATCAAGAAAGCCCCACAGGCAAGATCAGCTAGTTCAGTTTTAGTTGATTTCAGACATAGCCAAGTTTGACAACCAAGATTAGCCATCACATCATAAACAGGAGGTATATGTGTGTACCTATGTGTGTTATCAAGAGCCAAGGTTAGATCATTATAGTTTGATTTAACACCTCCCAAAAATATGTTTAATCTTAATTGTCAGTGACAATATTTGCAAATAAAATCCTTAGAAAGAAAGAATGTAAAGTTGGGTGTATAGGGAGATGGGGAGGAACTGGGAGGAATTGGGGTTATGGGGGGAGAAACAATCAAAATACATTGTTTGAAAACTAAAATAAATAAGTAGATAAACATACAGGACTAGTTTGACCTTCCATTGTATTGCCTGATAGCACCCACTTTTTCTGAAATTGGGTCTTATCTTATTGCTTGGGCCAACCTTGAACTTGTGATGTTCTTGTCCCAGCCTCATTCGTGCTTGGGATGACAGACACGGGTAACCAAACCCAACTGACTGGTATCCTTTTGAAAGGGATTCCTGGAAGGCTAGGGTGTCTCACAAGCATGGTCCCCAGCGCCCATGCAAAACTATCAAGCATGAAGGTGCTTATTTGTAATCCTAGTGCTGTAGAGGCTAAGGCAGCCAGACCCCTGGCTGAGGATCGCTAGTTGGCCAGTCTCAACTAGTTGGTAAGCTTCAGGTAGCAAAAGAACCTGTCTCAGAGGAAGCAAATAGCCTTTCTGAATGACAGCTAAGGCTGGCCTCTGACTTCCACATGCCTGCATACACAAGCAGCCACTCACACATGCATAAATCTTACAACTGTGCATTAGAAAAGAATGCCTGGAGGCCTTATCAAGAGTTCAAGCAAAGAGGATAGGTTGGAGTGATATAGTTAAAGTCCCTCTGGTTCCCATTTATTTCACTTAATATTATAGTCTCCATTTCCATCTATTTCCAGCAAATGACATAATTTCATTCTTTACATCCAAATAAAATCTCATTGTGTGTACGTATCAGATTTTCTTTATCTGTCCATCTGATGGGGGGTATTGAGGCTGCTTCCCTATCTTAGCTATTGCGATTAACAATATCTGAGCAGTAACAGGGTGTGTATGTGCCCAGGCATGCCATACCTGCATCAATATATTAATTCAACTTTTGGGTTATTGTGGCCTCTTTACACTAATTTCCACAGTGGCTGCACCGGTTTACACTTATACCAGCAATGTATAGGGATTCTCTTCCTTTGTATCCAGACTAGCAATTCGTCTCAGCCATTCTCTTCATAGCTATTAAGCTGTTGTGCCAGTGCAGAGAGGGAAACAAATGATTTACATTAACATCTCCATGATTTTTTCGGTATATTGAACCATTTTCATATATAATTTTTAATGTATTTATATATCAATTGGTCATCCGTGTTTCTTCTTTTGAGAACTTGTCCCGTCCAGCAGTAGTTCAATGAGTTCCTAAGGAGGGGCGAAAAGAATGAAATAGAGACAAGGAGACACAAAGAATGAGAGCAAGTCTCTCGCCCTCGTTTATTTGAAAAATTTCACACAACTTTATAGGGAGAAGGCAGAAAGGGAAAATGTGTCAGCAATATAGTTTACAAAACATAACAGGGTGATTAATGATGATGCAGAACACCTCAAGAATGTTTACTAAAAGAGCTACTACAAGAATGTCAGCTAAGATATCTCAAAATGTCTAGCCTGACACACAGATGTCTCATAGGTTCCGGAAACGTAAATCTCTCACCTACGACCTTGTTGCAGCTGTCTGTAACTTTCTGTAACTTTCCACTAGCTGGCCTTGGCTCCCAGCAAGAACTATCATTTGCTCACTTTTTGATGAGTCTATTTTTATTGTTTATTAATCATGCACATAACGTAAGATAAATAAATCTTAAAAATGTCTTAACCCTTTTTACAGTAAAGGAAATGATACAGAATTTTTTAAAATGGACCACGAAAATGAAAGAATCTTTGCCAACAATATGTCTGACAGAAGATCAACTCCTAGAATATATGAAAAACTGCAGAAAAATCAAATATGCCAATGAACTGAATGGACAGTTATCAAAAGAAGAGATATCTGAACAAGTGTTCCATATCCTTAGCCATTGGAGAAATGCAAATTAAAACTACATTGAGATTCCATCTCTTTCCTGGATGATGACTACAATTATAAAGACAAAACACTCTAAATGCCAATGAGAATTCAGGGAAAGAGGAGCCTTCACACACTGGGGATGAGAATGCAAACTGGGGTATCACTGTGGAAGTCACTCCTCAAAACCTACAAATTGAACTATTGCTTGACTCAGCGATTTTCCTGGCCACACACCTGAAGGACTCTAAGCCAACCTTCCGCACGTGGACACGCACATTCATGTTTATTACTGCACTTAGCAGTACATGACAGCAGAGCAATAGAAAGGATCTAGACGTTCATCAGCGGAAGACGAAGTACACATGCACAATGGAAGCTTCTCAGACATTTGCAGGAAAATGGGTGGACCTAGAGATAACTGTTTTAAACAAAGTAAGCAAAGCTCAGAAAATCACTGCATGTCTTCTATCACATGTGGGATTTAGATTTGATTATGCACAGTGTAC